AGCTGGTGATGAAGGTACCTGAGCTGCAGGAAGTTTGCGACCCTGCAGAGACCAGTAGTGCCTCCTTATAATGGGAGTGTTCTATTGGCCTGACTGGTGTCCCAACCCTCCCAACGCTAGCTGTGCTGTGCTGTGCTCTGGTCTGCATACTCCTTCACATTTGCTTAGATAGGCTTTTTCCGTGTCCACACAAACAGGGATCTGGTCTTCCCTGTGGTAGTTTGTATTCCTAGGTGTGGAGTCATGTCTCTACCAACGGGCACATTGTTTGCTCCTGGTGATTTGCTCACAGTACTGTCTGCCATGAAGTCCTCAGGCATAGCCCTTACACGGTCATAGAAATAACACTGTAGGCTTCCTCAGTAAAGTGACTGTTGAGAGGTTTTCAAAAAATCTGATCATGTAAAAATTACCCCAGTTTATACTTACAGCAAACTTCCAGCGAGCAGCTGTATACTCAATCTTTTCAATATTGGTGATTTAATCCAAATTGTTTTGGAGGATTTCTTATTTTAATGCGTAGTTGTTTGGTCACATCACAGATTTTCTACTTTGCTTTTGAGTAACCACTGCCATTTTTTCTGGCATCTTCATATTTTCTGTGGGCAGTTTGTGTTTTAACTTGTGTGTGGGTTCTTTATGTATGAGCAGTGGGAACCTTTTTATATACATATGAAATGGTCAAGCCTGCATTTGCTGTTCTAGCAGTCTCCTCCCTTGCATTGTACAGTTACATCTCAACTTGTTTATTTGCCGTTTCTGAGATTCTTTCTTTCTTTCTTTTTTTTTTTTTTTTTTTTTTTTGAGACAGGTGTCTCTGTGATTTTGGAGGTTGTCCTGGAACTTGCTCTTGTAGACCAGGATGGTGTTGAACTCATAGAGATCTGTCTGCCTCTGCCTCCTGAGTGCTGGGATTAGAGGTGTGCACCACCACTGCCCGGTGAGATTCATGTTTTGTTTTGGAAGGCCTTTTCCCATAAAATATAGCAGAAGACTGTTTTCCTTCTGTGCCTCAATCTTTCCTTTTATACACAGAAACAAACAGCCAGGCTACTCTCATTTAGGTCTGTTATCATTCAGACTTAGTTTTGTGGTAAGACACAGAATCTCTTCTAGAAATAGGTGCAGAGTTGTGTGAATGCTGTTTTATCACACCTCAGTACTCATGTGTTCCCAGTTTTGATTTTGCCTGCCTCGTGGGCCTCTTTCCCTTTGTCTCTCACAGAAGGCTCCTGCCTTCATGTAACCCTGTCCTAGACGTTCTTAACTGTTCCTGCAAATCTCTTCACAGACTTTATTTTTATTATTTTAAGTTATGTGTAAGTATCTGTCTGCATGTGGGTGTGTGCACATGAGTGCTGGTGCCCACAGGGGCCAGAGGCATCAGATTCTCTGGAGCCAGAGTTCCAGATGGTTGGGAGTCACTTGATGTGGATGCTGGGAATTGAACTCGAGTCCTCTGGCAGAGCAACAGTAACCCCTGAGCCATCTCTCCAGCCCCACATTATTTATTGTGTGGTGTGCAGTGTGAATGTCTTGTGTCTGTGCACATGTGCATAGAAGCCAGAGGTTGATGTTGTGTTTCTTCCTCAAATTTTCTCCGCTTATTTTCTGAGACAGGGTCCCTCACTGGATCCAGAGTTCATAGATTTGTCTAGACTAGCTGGCCAGCAAGGCTCAGGCTCAGGGATCCTCCTGGCTCTGACTCCTGCTCAGCATGCAGGGATTCCAACCCATGCTACTGTATAGGTATGTGGGTTCTTGGATTGTAATTCAGATCCTGAGACTTGTGTGGCAGTCACTTTATAGACAGCTATCTCCCCAGCTCTACATTATTCCTTTTGAGAATTTTATTGGCTTTTAGAGCCTTGCTCTTCAAGATGAGCTTGCAAAATTTTAGGATACAACAGAGCCCATTGCAATTTTAATTATCTTTGTATTAAAATTACATTTTGTGTGTGTGTGTGTGTGTGTGTGTGTGTGTGTGTGTGTGTGTGAGACAATGGACACAATGTTTTAGTCTGAAACCCACTTATCTATCCAACGTGTTATGATTTGTCTTGCTCTTATTAAGCATCTCTATGTGGTCCTTGTTTTCTTTCTTGCTGTGCTGTAGACTGAGCTTCCTCTGTCTCCTTGTGTCCACTCTTGGCCCTCTAGTCTGTTGTCCACACAAGACCAGGCTTGCATGAGCTGTTTGTGGGCTTAGAATACTACTCTTCTTGACTCAATATTTGTCAGTTTTCATGTTTCTATGGAACTAGCCGACCTCTGGATGTAACATTCCTTGCTTAGTTTCCTAGCACTTCTGGCCCTTTCTGTTGAGTGGTTATTGTTGTAATTTTTAAAAAGCAGTTCGAGAGAGAAAGATTCCATGTGAAAAAACCGAGGGGTTTTTAATCAGGGGAAAGGGATTGTAAAAAGGGGGAAGTAGAAGGGGAAGACCAGCCTTTAGGGACAGGAGCAGCAGGAGAGAGGAAAAGAGAGGCAGAAAGGCAGAGAGGGCGGGGGGGGGGGGGAGGAACAGATAGACAGAAAAGGGGAAAGAGAGAGAGGGATGGGAGGTGGGCAGGGCCCTTTTAAAAGGGAACATAATGAATAGGCACAGGTGATGCTCTTAGTGGTAGCAGCTGAGGCATATCTTGTCAGAACTCCAAAGCAGGCTAGTACAAATGCCTAAGTACTACCAGTTATAGCTTGATGTTTGCTTTGCTTGGGAGGTGAACTCTTCCCAGTGCTAGGCACAGGCCATATTGGTTGTTGCTCACGACCGTGATTTCTTTACCTCTGACTGCCTGCCTAGCCCAGCAGAACTATACCTTAAACTTTGTTGAGCCTGGTACCTGCCTCTCTCCATGCTCATCTTTAAGGGAAGCCTGCCACTTAGTTTCCTCACATGGCCCGCACAGTTTTTGGGCTCACACTCTTCACAGTGTTTACTTCCCTATTACACAGGGGAAACCTATTGGTTCTGGCAAGTTTGTGCACTGCCTAGCCTGCTTAGTGTGGACCTGCACTTCCTGCCTGGTTCTTGCTTGTTCTTCTCTAACTGGCTGCAGGCTGCTCAATTGATGGTTGTAACGATCATGTCTCATGCCTAACCGGGCTATGGTTGGAGGGAGAAAGAGGATTGTTTCCAAGGATTTCTTATGTGCAAGGACTTTCCTGGAGTCCTGAGTAGTTGTGATGTTCTCCCAGTATATAAGATGGAACCCCAGCCCCATTGCACATTGACCATGGGGAGGGGCCTTAGTTCTTCATCATTGGAGTGGGGTCTACTTGGCTGGCTGCTCATCACACCTCAGCATGTCAGTGTTGCTCTCAGGGAATTGTGGGTACTTTGCTCAGATGACTAGAGAGGGAAAGTTTGTTTGTGGCATCTGTCATTGTGGAGTGTGACTTTTTCCCCATCAGTAGATTCTTCACACCCATCTCTGCACCCTTGGAGTGAATATTGTAATATATGCTATTCTTCAGATATACTGATGCATTTGGACCTCTTAAGACTTTCTTTGGGATCTCTGTATTTATAAGTGGTATTTGATGATGTTACTAAGTCTTTAAGAATAGGAGTTAACACAGTGAAAAGAACCTGGCATTAAAGGCCACGTTACTTAACCTCTCTGAAACCAGTTCTCTTCCGTGGGCAGGGCTCACAGGCCCGCTTAATCCAAGCTGCTTTGAAGAGCCGGTGAGACAATGTATGCAAAGCTCTTTTTAAACACTAAGCTTTGACAAAACGAGAACTTCATCTCATGCTGTATATTCAAGATTCTTGACTTTGAACTTTTTTTTTCCTTCATGGAGATGGGGTCAGAGAACATTAACCGGTGTATTTTCTCAGTGCTTTTTTCATAAACCACAGCCAGAAACCAGTGCAGCAAAGGAGGGAGAGGTACTGTGAGCCTGGTTAGCAAACAGTTATCCACATTCAGATATTAGACCCCCGTTCTCCGTGGCATCCATGGGGCATTGGGGGAGATTTGTTTTCTGAGGTCTCTGTGAATGCAGGTTATTTCTGGTGTTGTCACCCAATTACTCTCTACTTATTTTACTTAGACTTTAGTAATTGGAAAAAGATTAGATGTCAGGACTTTGCATTTTGTTGATTGTATTACCAAAGTCTTCTCTGTAATCACTTCTCTTATTCCTGGTATTAATCATGAGCTCTGAGCTGTTAGAACAGTCTAATAGCAGATTTCTAACGGAAGCAAAGGAAGCAATTGCCTTTGTCTTGTTGGAACTGGAGTGTGTGGATGTCCCTGCACACCCACATGAGCCCTCTAGTCACCCAGGAGATCAGCGACACGCAGAATCAGGGAACTACTGTCCTTCCCTACTGCCTTGACTGCAGGCCCCTCTCGTTGGCCAATCCTTCTTTGGTTCTGCTCCTTGGAGGTATTTGTAAAGACACCCAGGCCTTGTGTTTGTCCATTGTGACGCTCTCTTATTGTAGATGTGTATTGTGTGGCTCACCTTTGTCAGTGCTGTGTACAGACAAGCTCACCTCCCAGAGACCAGTGCTAAGAAGATGTTTCAGATGGCATTAAGAAGCAGTGAGTGGATGGAGTGGGAGAGAGGAAGAGAGCTAGCTAAGTTGTCAAATGGAGACCCAGCATTGTGGGTTCAAGGAGACACAAAGATAGTGGCAGGGGAGGAAGCCGGTGCCCTCGATGCCACTGCCCCAGGGAGGAAGGGCCTCACCTGTCCTAGGGTGGCATCAGAGATACCTGGCTGCCTTTGACAGGATTGTCCTATCTAAGACTTGTAAAAGAAAACAAAAGCCAGGCAATGCTCTGCTTTGAGTTAATAGAGTGGTGACTCATTATCTTTTGTGTATTTGAGGACAGTTACTCTCTGAAATGTTTATAATTTAGACTTACTTTGATTCCATTTGTGGGGCTCCCTGATCCCCAGGGACACTGATAGGATATGGTGAGATGCTTTAGAACCATTTCTAACCCTGATTTTCTCTGTTTTACCCCCCCCCCCCCCCATAGACGAATTACGGAAGCTGAGCTGGTCTGGAATCCCAAAGTCAGTTCGTCCAATGACATGGAAGCTTCTCTCAGTAAGTCTGCATGCCAGTGCTCAGCCTAGCCACTTCCTCTTGCATGTACAGTGGCCTGGCACCTGGCTGGAGGAACATGGCTTGCTGGACATGGCTGTACACTTGTCTGTGTTGGCTGCATAATGACACAGGACTTTGCTGTGGCTAAGATGGCATTGTCTAGTTTTAGCTTAATTTCAAGGTTGGTTTGGCAAGTCTGGAAGAAAGTGAGGACAAGCAACAGCTCATGGCAGCTGTGTTAGTTCCCTCCGACTTCTAACAGTAAAGAATCACTGTATGCAGATCATGATTCAGGCACTTACAGTAGAGAAGACCACACAGCTCAGAGGAAGTGGGTATTGGTAACGCTGTTGTTGAATAAGAACAAGAGGAAGAGGACAGCGAGGAGGAGGAGGAAGAACAAGAAGAGGAGCAAGAGGAAAAACAAGAGGAAAAGGGGGAAGAAGAGGAGGAAGAGGAAGAGAGGAAAGAAGACGAGGAAGAGGAAGAAGGAAGACAGGGAAAAGAAGAGGACAAGGAGGTGGGGCAGGAGGTTTTGGAAATAGCTTGTTTGTGCCATAGAGAGTGGGGGTCAGTTCCCTGGGCCCCCACACCAAGCTGTTGGTCCAAAAGCCCTTCTGGAAGAGTTCAGCAGTTGCTGGTGACTGTCCTCATCCCCTCACGTACTTAACCCTGGCTTAAGATTGGAAGCAAGAATAGTTTATTGACAGTTTTCTTCTCTTTTCCTTTTGTTTTATTCTTGAAGATCAGTCAGTGGGAACTCTAGGCCCCTAATCTAAATTGAGTCTGACTTTCAGTGTTTAAAAGACTTGTGCTAATGAGTTGTGATAAATTTTCAGTTCAGTACCTCGTAATCCTAAATGCAGATGCAGCTCCAAACAGCAAATATTTATTGATTAAATATCTCTTGCAATTAAGGCTAGACCTGCTGCGATCACTTGTGTTCTGTTTTGTGGTTTTCAAGTGTTTATTAGCACATTTCTAAATGTCCTCTAAGAGAGTTAGACACCCTTAATTGGTTTGTAGGAAGTTATGATGTAAATGCCTGGAAGCCCCTCTGTCATGGTTGGTTTTGTGTTCATCAAGCATGGTCTGGTCTAAGTGGAAAGTCTTATGAGAGGCTCTTGTACCTGCTCTTTCCTTCACATCTGCACCTGTGGAAGTCGTAGCTGCACTAAGTGCCCTGATCTGCTTAACTGCATAGTGGTTGCTGTGTCAATGGGCACAGAGCATCAGAGGAACAGCAGGGGTTGGGGTGGGGTGAGTGGTGGACAGCTCCGCCCTAGTGGTGTGGACCTGGGGTTGTGTACACAGGAGTGTTGGCAGTGCAAACCAAAGAAAAACTGTAGGGGCCTGCCTAGACATAGTAAAGGATATAGAGATCCCGTGGTAGCTTGAAAGAAAATAGCCCTGAAAGGCAGTGGAATTACTAGGAGGTGTGACCTTGTTGGAGGAAGTCAACTGTGGGGGCAGGCTTTGAGGTCTCTTTTGCTCAAGTTTCCCTCAGTGTGACTGATCAGTTGACTTCCTGTTACCTGCAAGATGTAGGACTCCAGCACCATATCTGCCTTCATGGCCACCACTCCCGTCTATGATGATAATGAACTGAATATCTGAAACTGTAAATGAGCCTCCACAATTAAATATTTTCCTTTTAAGGGTTGCCATGGTTATGGCGTTTCTTCACAGCAATAAAAACCCTAACTAAGATAGACCTAGATGCGACTAGGAAGAGGTTAGGGCCTCAGACATGCAGCAGGATAAGTCCAGTACAGTTTGGCACAGTGTACCTATGAGATGTTCAGAGCTTGAGTGTCAGCTAAGAGGAGGGGTTGGGATGGTATTATGGGGTGGCCAGTTTCTAGGGTTTTGTGAGTGGAGGCTTTACAATGTGTCTCTAAGGCATTGCAAGTACACAAGGAGGGAAGGAGGACTAGGGCATTTCTCAGGTCTGAACTGACAGATGAGAAGGTAAATGCCAGATTAGTGAGCAAATCTGCGCTTCACCAACAGTAGCTCCAGGGGAGTATAACTAATGAGGATGCCAGGGTCCTTGGCACAGATGCATGCTTACACAGCATCTCTGAAGGTGTCAGTGTTACTTGGATGAGGGAGTTGGGGAGGTCATAAAGTGAATGGGTGTAGTAGGGGTGTGGCAGGTCAGTAGCACAAACTAGGCAAGTGCTTCCCTTCAGACCTCTGTAGGAAGGCAGGGCAGAGGGGCAGGGGTCAGAGCATGTATAGTTGACACCAAGGTAACTTGGCCCTCATCTTGAAGGTCTTGAGCCAGGGGTGTGCAGCTGTTTCTGGAAGGAGATCAACTGTATTTTTTTTAAAGCTCTTTGCTCTTTGCTCTTTACTCTTTGGGGGGCCCACCATCCAGCTCCCAAATAATTATATGGAGGCTTATTCTTTCTTATGAATGCCTGACCTTAGCTTGGCTTGTTTCTAGCTAGCTTTTCTTAACCTAAATTTTCCCATCTACCTCTTACCTCTAGGCTTTTACCTTTCTCTTTTCTATATACCTTTCCTTCTTCTTACTCGGTGACTAGCGGTGTAGCTGACCCCAGGTGTCCTCTCTTCTTCTCTTTTTTCCTTCCATTTATTCTCTCTGCCTGGCCATCCCACCTATCTTTCTCCTGCCTAGCCATTGGCCATTCAGCTCTTTGTTAGACCAATTTGGTGTTTTGGGCATGCATAGTAACACAGCTTCACAGAGTTAAGCAAATGCAACATAAAAGAATGTAACACATCTTTGCATTATTAAGCAAATATTTCATGATATGAATGAATATAACTCAAATTAATATTCCACAACAAATAACCTGGAAATCCATTGGTCAGTATATTGAGTTGTTTGCTGGAGACTGACTTAACTCTGTCTCAGGCACTGTGTTCGGTGCTGGAAAAGGACAGGGTATGCCTGAGACTAAGTCCCAGTCCTCCTATGTTCTGCACAACACAAAGAAAATGCTCACTCTTCTGTTACTGCATAGCACAGGCTTGGGGCTTATGGCACAGAAAAGGAGCCATTTCCCCAGGGCCCTGTTCCTAAGCCTCAATTGCTCCTTTATTGAATGCTTGGTGAGTGCAGGACTAGGCATACTCAGATTTCTTTAGAAACTGAGTTGTGTTCTCCCAGAAAATGAGCAGGTGACTGTCACCAGGTAGTTCTGAGGCATGTCTGGCAGGGAAGCTGGGAGGGGTTTTAGTTGAGGCAGGGTCAGTTGGGAAGGACTGGGAAGAAGTCAGTGGCCAAGGCTACATGTGTATGGATGGAGTCTGGTCACTAGAGCAGGCAGAGAGATTGGCTCCTTTTCAGGGCACAGGCATGGTGTCTTAGTTTGGGTTTCTGTTGCTGTGAAGAGACACCATAACCATTGTAATGCTTATAAAAGAAACTATTTAATTGGGGCTGCCTTACAGTTTCAGAGATTTAGTTCATTATCATGGTGGGACATGAAAGTGCAGGCAGACATGGTGTTGGAGAAAGAGCTAAGAGTTGTACCTCCACAGCAGAAGCAACTGTCACATACATAGGTTGAGCACAGGAGACCTCAAAGCCCACTCCCACAGCGACACACTTCCTCTAAGGCCACACGTACTCCAACAAGGCCATACCTCCTAATAGTGCCACTCCTTATGGACCAATCATTCAAACACATGAGCCTATGGAGGCCATACCCATTCAAACTACCCCACACGGCAATGACTTTTCTGAGCATTTGGCTCTGTGATGCTGTTCCTGTGCAACCTGCTGCCTGCTGGTGCAGGACCTGCATGGGAGAGGAAGCCACTTAGCTGGGATGCTGGTCTGACATGGAGTACCCAGGTAGGAGTTGATTCTTTCTCAGCTGAACTAGCTGGCCCCTGGAACTTGCATGAGAATGACTTTCATGTTTGTTGGCTACTTGCAGATGCTTCCAGCCTCAGCATGTGTCATAGTTTGGGTTACTATTTCTGTGATGAAACATGACCCAAAGCAAGTTAGGATGAATGAAAAAGGTTTATTTGGCTTATGTTTCCACAGGCAAGGACTGGGAGACAAACTGATGCAGAGCCCATGGAGGGTGCTGCTTACTGGCTTGCTTAACATGCTTTCTTGTAGAACCCAGTGCCATCAGTGCAGGGCTAGCCACACCTACAATGGGCTGGCCTATCTCCTATCAAACACTAAGAAAGTGCTCAACAGGCTTGCCTACAGCCCCTTATGGAGACATTTTCTCAACTGAGGCTCCCTCTTCTCAGATGACTCTAACCTGTGTCAGGTTGACATAAAATTAGCCAGCACAGTATGTTTTCTGTAATAAAGGTCTGAGGAGCATGCCTGTCAGTCACAGGTTATTGAGGGGATGGTGGAGACAGAGAAGACTCTCTCTTGTCTAACTCGCCCTTTACACAGTCTCTGAATAGCTCTGATTAACATGGCTTCCCTCGTGACTGCCCTAGAAGCTGTCACAGGTCCTGGTTACTGGGATCTGAACAAACAACCCAGGTTGGACAGAAGTATCACATATGCACTGACCCTGGTACTGGGAGTCAGAGTGTCCCTGGAGCACCTGACTGTAGACACAAGAGCAGGGCATGCTCAGTGAGTACAAATTCCTGATCTGTGGTCTCTTTCCATCTGGCTGCATTTTACTGTCACCCAGGGGGTTGGGCAGTGCTCATACCTGGACTTGGTAGTGCACCCACATTAAATCCCAATGTTCTAGGGCTAAAGGCAGCGTGCATGACAGGACCAGGATGCTCATGAATTAGTTGGGAAGTTGGTCTCTGAAAACTGACCTAGTAAAAGCAGTTGCTCACTGAATCTGCAACACTTGGACTATGAGGCTGGGCTGGGTGGGTGAGTGGGACTAGATTATGAACCTAGTGACTTTTCTCCAGCATGCATATGGTTTGTCCTTAGCACAAGCCTAGTGTTCATGGACAAGTGTCAGTTTAATTAATGAGAGGAAATTCTGCTTTAGAGGAGAAATCTGGGTATGTGGCTCTTGTTCTGAAGAAGTAGCAAGAGTGCTGAGCTAGAGCACCCCATTAAACAGCAGTGATAATATTTAACTTTTAAATTGCATGCAAACAGCATAGGGCCTTTTTCAAAATTAGTCCTGAGGAGAATCATATTTTTGGCTCTTTTTTTTTTTAAAGTAACTATTTCAGAAAGTGAACAAAAACTAATTAAACATTGAACATGTACGCTAGTGAGTATATTGGCTAAAAATGACAGTGAGACCCCAGAATCAACATATCTTCTTTCAGTGTGTTGCAGTCAGTTTGCATATGAACACAGTGGGAGGGAACACATTGATTTTTGTGTCACCAGGACAGTTTGGATTTAAGTATCTGCATGCATTGTTTTACATTTATGATTAGTGTTTTTATAGCATGCTAATACAGCAATTAAGTCTTCTGTAGTTCTGTCATTTAAAATTCATTGCATACTTGAATGTATTTCATTTGCATAATTTCTAGTCTTGCTTAATTATCAAGAGGCTTCCACTTGCACATGTGTTTTTCCTGTAGGAAGGGATGGCAGGAGAATGGGTGGGCCTTTTATGATGGCATTCTTGCCTTTTAGAATTTTTGTTTCTTAAGTTTATATTCGGGAGCAGGAAACTTCCTAAGAGTGCTCATTCTTTTCCCTAAGCATGCTGGCACCATTTGTGTGCTGCTGTCTACCCTGTCTCTGCTAACCGCCCTTGTGACTCCATTGTCCAGAGCTGCAGACTGGGCCTGGGCCCTTCACTCTGATTGTTGAATGCAGCACCAAGTCTTTCATCTGCCAGGCTCTGTTTTAGTCTTTGCCCAGCCTGGACTTACTTTCTGCACACCTCCAGGCTCTGTCTAGTTTTCCATTGTTTAGTATCACAATCAAACCAAGCCAGGAAGCTGCCCTAACATAGTCTTTCCCAGAGACTCTAATACAGTGTCACCATTCTTTCGGTTGTATCATGCTGACATCATCCATCCATCCAGCAGTGTTTGCTGAGTGTCTGTTATGGGGGTACAATGTTTTAAGCCCTTGGGGATAATTGTGAGCCGAAAGGGAGAGCTTACATTGTGATGGAAAGAGGTGAAAGTAATTGGGTCGGGGAAGTTGACAGAGGTGACTGATACATAAGGAGGAGGTCAGGGTGCTACTTATGTGGTCTTCATGGGCCTCACCTCAGTGAGGTGATGTTTGGGGACATAGTCTGGTCCTGACAATTTCAGTGCTATGTTTGGTACAGTGTAGATTATATACAGTCAGTCCCCTTGATCCCCAGAATGGGTTGGCATGGATGATGAAGAGGCATGACTGATCAGTAGCAGAAGCAATACCCTGAGACAGCAGAGGGAGAATAGAGACTGTTGAGGGATGTGGGATGGTCAAAGGGTTGCCACTGGCCACAGGCATCTGAATGGCAGTTATCAGACTTGATCCCAACGTGCCATCTGGGTCAGTGTCATAGGCTGCTTCAGCTGTACAGCCCTCTTTTCTGCACTACAGCAGCCAAGGAGTTGGTGTGTGCTACATACAGTTGTGTTCCTTCAAGCTTTATTCACAGAAACTGGCAAGTTAAGAGTTGCCTGGTCTGTGATTGGAGCCAGTGGGTCTCAGAAGAGGAAATAGTGAGTTCAGAGGGAGACCCCAAGGCTGGGAGGTGTGATGTTTGAGGCATGTTTAGCTGCTTAGAAGGCAGAGGTCACATAGGGAGGGGGGAGCATGTGTGCTCTGGCCAGGGAAGATGTGAGTCCAGGCAGGGCCTTCCTTAGAGACCCTGTGGATAGGCAGTTATCAGACAAAGAACAAGACGTGTCTTAGGAAATAGTTATTCTCTGAGTTTATATGAACTGGAACTGAGATACCTACATGGAAAAAGGAGGTATAACCCTCCTGCCTGGATGGGTTATCTCTGGAAGCAGCTTTTAACTGGATGAAGAAATATGTCACCCTTGTAATTTTGTGCCTTCAGCTCAGGAGCAGGGTTTTGTCCCTAGTGTTCCTAGCAGTAAAAGCACTATTGGGATGTCCACAGGTGTGGAAAGTGACTCTGATTACCATGTGGGTGACATTCTGGCTAGTTCTCATGCTGTTGGCAATGCATCTGTTGTCTGAGGCAGAATGTGCATTGGGGTCTTAGCAGTCTCCTTTCTGCAGGGAAAAGAGGAGAAGCCAGCATAGTAGTCTGCTGGTTGTGCTTTCTTGTCAGCAGAGTGCTGTGCCACAAGTGTGAGCCTTTCCCATGAAAGCTATCATGTGAGCATTTTCCAGTTTGCTCACCTGTGAGTTGTATTTGACCTGTGTATAACAGGGCTGCTGGAGTGTGTCAGTGGTCACCTCCTGTGGGCTCCTTGGGAATAAACACTGGCATCTGGGGTGCTCACAACTCACATGTAGGAGGAGTTCATGTAGGAAATAACCAGATGTTGTATGAGTTTCCACTTGATGATTGGAAATAGTGTCTATGTTAGAAATGGGACAGGTTATGTAAATATGTGTAGACACATGCGTGACTGTGCTGCCTTCAGGATGATGTCTCAGCAGGGACTGGCAGGCATTCTTGAAAGGCTTCGTAGTAAGTATGTCAGCCCATGAATCACATGCAGCTCTGTAGTTCTGTGGGCACCGTGAAGGAGCAGCCACACACACTTCAAAAAGCAGGCACAGTTTGTCCCAACAAGATGTCATTTACAGAAGCAGGTGTGTTTTCAGTTGGTGGCTCCTGTTTTAAACGACAGTCACAGTGGGGATATGGTTGCAATTTTCTTTTTTTTTTTGTTTTTGTTTTGGGTTTTTAGAGACAGGTTTTACTATGTAGCTCTGGCTGTCCTGGAATTCTCTCTGTAGACCAGGTTAGCCTTGAACTCACAGAGACCCACCTGCCTCTGCCTTCGAAGTGCTGGGATTAAAGGCATATGCAACTATGCCTGACTATGATTTTAAAATGCAGCATACAAGCCTGAATGTAAAAGTACCAATTGTACTCCAGTAACTGGGGCTTTCTGCAAGTGAGAGACTGCTCTTCATCACAGGGCACAGCAGCACTCTCCAGGCAGGGACAAGGATGCTTCCCACAGGCCTCAGCTGCAGACCTGGAAGGAGGCAGTGACCTGCAGGAAGTGGACTGTGTCTGTGCTTGCTCCTCAGCATTGCCTCTAGCTGTGTGACCCACAGCATCCTGGGAGATACAGATTCTGACCATGCTCTGGTTCTGATGGATGGCTGCAAAGAAGTTGGAATGGCCAATGTGAGAACTTTGGTTGGAGCAAACACGTGTTGGCAAAGCTAGAGAACAGCTCATACCTCACCATTGTGGTCATGGGGTGGCTGCCGCCACTGCTCCGACTCCATATATTCACCTTGATTCACAGAAGCAGTTAAAAAAAAGGCCCTGGGCTTTGGGTCACCTCTTGATCTCTTAGCCTCCAGGTCACTGTGGCCAGAGGAATGAATGGTACCCATCTAGTGTGCCTTAGTCAGTGCTGATTGGAAATGATCTTGCAGTTTCTTAGAAATTTCTGTCTATATTCTGATGCTGCACCTCTGCCCTTTGCTCTTTGTCCCTGAGAAATCAGAGATGCACGTTTCCAAAGTCTGCACGAATAGCCATTGAGCTTTGTTCATTATAAGTAGCTTACCAGAGGTGTGTGGCCTAACACATGCCATGCAGACTCATTCCCAAAGGTGGCTGACCTCAGAAGAGTGTGCACAAAATCCTAGGTTCTAAGTGAGTCTGTTTTTGGAAAGTGTCAAACAAACCTAATTAGCCCTAGTTTGAAACTAGCACTTCCAGGGTCCAGGTGGGGTGGTGGGAATGGGTTGCAGAGAACACCATCACTTTGGGCAATATGGAAAGTGCCTCCAGTCTTTCTGGGAACAATAGTCAACTGCCTGACACTCTCCGTGAGGCAACAGGTCTGTGCTTAAAATTGACAGAGTTTAAAAGTAATACATTATGTAATATATCATGAGATTAATTTAGAATCTAGAACAAGGAAACACATAAGAAGGCACATAAGATACCAAGCTCTTTGTGACTGCTGGAGCCAACTGCTCCTTTCTGGATGTGTGTTCATTTTATGTGTTGCATAGTGTCAGAAGCCCCAGGGGCTTTGGAGAGTAGATGCACATTTACCTACATGACAGCTTTGAGCACATAAATGCGATGTGTGTGTATGTGTGCATGTTGTGAGTGTGAGACCAGGCAGGCTCCCAGTTCCTTGTGGACATAAGCCCTATAGAGAAGAGTTTTAGCATCTCCATACCATATGTTAAGAAAGCATCAGGCCCAGGTGGTGTCAGGTGACTTTTGTTGGATACAGGTGATAACTTAGACCTGGTTGGCGACTCTGGTGAGGGGTACTGATGCTGTGAGTTGTCCTGTTGCTTTGTTCTGTGTGGGCTGTTTTTTCACAGTGTCCTCCCTAATGTGTTAGGTGGACCTCCATAGGCCTGGGTCATTCTGGAAGTGACTACTGTTCTTCATGCTCATGATGCATAGTAACCATGGATGCCTGTGTTTGTTTTGCTCCTCTAGGGTTACCTTCCTGCCAATGTTGACCGGAGACCAGCCACACTGCAGAGAAAACAGAAAGAATACTTTGCTTTCATTGAACATTATTATAACTCAAGGAATGATGAAGCTCACCAGGACACATATCGCCAGGTGTGTGTGGGTCTTTCTTTTTTCCATGTATCACCCAATACTGGGATGTGCAGCTGGTTTATAGGAAATGTGTTTCATCTATCAGGAACACGATAGGCTTGCAGATTTATTTTCTAACAATAAACATTTGAAAGCAATTAATGGCAATTTGCTACCAGTAGCAACATCTAGTTTGTTTGAGTTCCTTCTCAGAGGTAAAGCATGACGCTTGAGTCAGGTTACAAAATAGATGCTGAGATCTGTTAGTGACGACCTGCATCTACCTTGGGTGATGGTTGGCATGTGGCACCTTGGCCTGTGCCTGGTACTCTCTGGCCTACTTCTGGAGGGTGGTGCCTTGTCCTATGCCTGGCATTCTGTACCATGCTTCTGGAGGGTGTTATCTTAGCTTGTGACTGGCACTCTATAGTCTGCTTCTGTAGGGCAGTACCTTGGCCTGTACCCTGAACTATTACCTGAATTTGATAATAATGTATTTACTGTCCCCCTGAAGGTTTGTGTCCAGGCCACATGGAGCTAGTTAGAGATAACATTTGCATGGTTTAGCTTTCCCTCTGTAGGTTAGTCCTGCTAAATCTTGTAGCCTTTCTCTTATTTTCCCAGGCCTGTCTGTGATTGATGAGGCAGGCCAGGGGCAAGGAATGGGGTATGATGCATGTGCTGTCCTGTCTGCGTAAGAAATGCATTGCCTGTGGCTCTTATGTAAGTTGATGCTTGCTGGTAGTAGGCACAGAGGCAGGTCAGGCCTTCATTTCATCTTTCATGAGCCCAGCATACAGTGCATCTCTCCACAGGACTCTCACTGAAGGGAACAGTGTACAGAGGGTGGCTCTCCAGAATGCCCTTTTAGTGAATCTTGGCACTCTTGTCCCTCACCCATTCCTGGGTTCCTGCATGTGACCCTCCTGAGTTCTTTGACTTTGCTTGACCTTGCTGGTCTGCGTGGGTGTCCCTCAGCAGGCTGCTCATTGACTTCTCTTCTGTGTGCTCTGTGTGTATTTATTTGCAAGTTTGTCTCATCTTGTTGCCTTGCGCTGAGGACTCAGACTCTGACTGTCACCAGGAACCCTTTGAAGGACACAGAGAGCAGGTGTTTTGTAGGTGAGGAGGCTGAACCAACCTAATGGCTTACTCTTGGCCATAAGCAAAACTAGTAGGAGAGTGAAGTGGTGACCCTATTGACTGGATGTTAGCTGCTGCTTTGCACATGGTCAAGGATGGAGATAAACGGTTGGGTCCCGTCTGAGTTAAAATGTACAGGCTGTTGCTCTGGAGCCCCAGAATGATGCTAGTGCTGCTGGTATGGGGTGCACTCCTGGGGTGTGGAGCCAGCCTGTGGTGCCAGCTGTTTTCAGAATGTTCCTGTCAGGTCACCTCTTGAACCCCACCCACAGGAGGTCTATACTTGAGTGCTGACAAGCATTGTCAAGACTCTCAGGCTAGGTGATGCTCAGGTAGGAATCTGCTGACACAAGCAGAGACTTTAAATGCTTCCTTTAAAGGGTCTAGATTCCTCATGGACAATGAAATAGAGGAAAACATGGCCTATGTTCCAAATGGCTTTGTCACAGCTGAAACCCTAGCACTATCAGTGTCTTTGAATCATGCTCAGTATTGGGCTGAAAATCAATGTTCACTGATTGCTTTGGCTCATGTTACAGAGGAGCTGAGGACCCACTCTAGTCCTAACCATGCAGCAAGCACTGCTGGACTGCCAAGGGTCAGGGATGCCTGTCACCTGAGGACAGTTGAGCCTTGCTCAGCTGGTGTGTGCTTTTGGGTACCTCCAATGGAGGAGCCTAGTGACAGTCCTCAGAGCAGGTTAAGGGCAAAGCACATGTGTCATCAAGGACTGCTCGCATCCTCTAAGATTAACATATGTCTCTCCTGCATCTGCAGATCCACATTGACATTCCTCGGATGAGCCCTGAAGCACTGATTCTTCAACCCAAGGTGACAGAGGTAAGAGGAACACTGACCGGGGAGTCTTTGCTGATGTCTGTCTGTGTGTGGCTGCTGCTCACTGCAGGGGCCTGATCTGGGAGCCCCAGAAGTCCATAGTTACATGGGAATCAGGGATGGTTCTCAAAACGTTTTTCTTATGTAATATTGATACATACTAAAGAGTATATTAATATGTATGTGAGTATTTATAATAGAAACTCATGTCCTTGAATTTAGGAGTTAGAACTCCTCCAGTGCTGACCAGCTGCCTCCATGAGCTTGAAGCTGGTAACATAGAAGCTATTTCTCCATGCTTATGGTTCTGTTACCCCAGCTCCATCTCTGCCCCCCCCCCAAAGCGGTAGACATTCCATCTCTGACTTATATTTGCCATCTTTGTGACTTCTGCACTAAGGAAGCGGTGTGGTGCTATTGTCTTGAGCTGTATATGCCATCCTTTGTGCACTTCAGTCTCTGCAGCTTGTGTTTTCTGCTCCTTGTGTAGTGGGCAGGATGAATGTCTGGGCACCTCCTAATGTTATGCTTTTGGGACAGTGTTGCTAGAGTCCTCATGCCCATTTATGCCTGTGTACCCCTGTAAGATTTCTCCAAGGCTTTCAGCATAATATCAGCATGCTTCTTGGAAGGGGTCTGCAGATGATGCTCACCTGCAGTGCTGCAAACTTGGTTTTCCATTCCTTGGCCTTTCTGGGAGCATGGCCAGGCTCCCGAGCTCTGTATGTCTGGTGGCTATTCTTATTGTGCTCCTGGCTTCGCTTTCCCTGGCTGCTGGTGGCTAAAGATCATCTATGCATATAGAGATGGGCTTCTTCTGTGTCCCTGTTCTGGGAAATGTTTGTTACTGCCTTACCACCCCTCTTTTTTTTTAACCCATTAAAAAATAAGTTTGTGATCTTTATACATCTGGGATTCTAATTTTTTGAAAGTTATTTGATGGGACATGCTTAGCCTTGCTGAGTTTAAAGTGATGCTTGCTTAGGTTATTATGGGATTCTTACTTTAAGAAATCTTTTCCCTCAACATCTGTCTTGTAAGTTTTCTCTCATCTTCTCATCTGAAAGTTTTTCTTTCCCCACCATGTGTTTAATTAGTGCTGATAGCAGCATCTACGGGCAGTCAGTGGGGACTGTGCAGGAACTTGGCCTTGTTACTTCAGTGTTCTATCTGTGCCACATTCACAGGCATCCATGAGGACCTTAGTGCCTCTTCCTTCCTCTTATAATTTGATGGGGTTATCTTATTCTCTACTTATTCATGTCATTTTCAGAATCACGATGCCAAGTGTTCTTTTTTTTTTTTAATCTGTTTGATTTGTGAATGAATTCTGGCCCTATTTTTTACTTGTTATTTTGAGACTAGGTCTGTCTAAGCTGTCCAGGTTGGCCTTGAACTCACTCTGTGGCTTGCACATACCCTGATCTTCAGATCCTCTTGGCCTCATCTCACCAAGTATCTGGGATTATAGATCTGGGCCAACAGACCAAGGGAAACCTTTATGAAAGGTCTTGTATATACTTTATTAGATTTATTTATATTTTTGTCACTAAAGTAAGTGGTATCTCTTTAAAATAGACTTACTATATGAAATACTTTGTTTTTCATCTTTATTTTCTCCCAGTAAATGCATTTTGAAACGTGGACATCTCTTGCCTGCGCAGTAAAGCTACTAAAAAATTCTGAAACTGCTAAAGTAAAAGTGCTTGTAGATTGTGGAGCACAAAAGGGGAAAATGAGTTTCCAGGGAGCGGCTGCTCTGAGGCACTTCTCTTTGATTGCCCTTCTCAGTGGTGTGCGTACAAGAGTTGGAAAACAAGGCTAATGTGTTATGACCTCTTCTTTGCTTAAGTTTTTCTTTAAACATGGAAACTAGACCTTGGCTTGTCTTTGTGTGATCTTTTGTTTTTTCACTCTACAACATGGCACACTGCTCATAGAGCTGGTCTTGTGACCTCTGGTCTCAGTTGTGGTCCAGAGTCACCCCATTGCTTTGTGGTCAGGCATTGGCTCTCTTGCATTGGAGCATCTCCCTGGCTGTGGGTTTTGCTCAACCCTCGAGACTCCTCCAGAGCTTTGAGGTGTGTGTATTGAGTAGTTGGCAAGGTTGAACGGGGGCCATGCAGCCTGTAGGACAGGCAGACCTCTGCAGGAGGAGGGCAGACTACCCAGGCTGCCAAGGGTGGCTGTGGATAATTTGAGTGTCACTGTACAGGGGAATATGACACGAGGAACATGGGCTTGAGGGAAAACATTGAAAGGTGGGTCTCGTGTTAGCCTGTCTGCAGGAGCCAGTTACATTTCTGGCACCTAGGATGTTGGTCTACATCCACGGTGACAGCAAATCTATTGACATGGTAGCTTCATGAGATAGAAGTTAATCAGTGTGTCTTTGGAGCTAGTTGTTTGTCAGACGGTTAGTTGTCTCTGTGTACTTGGCTTTAACCTCAGAGTCCAAGCAGCTGCCTGGTGCTCTTGCTCACATTTGCATCCTACTAGCAGGGAATTAAAATATGACACAGATAGGGAGAAAAGGCACATCCCTTTGAAGTCATATGATTTGGCAGGGTGGTACCTCTTTTAACCCAGTGACTTAGCTGGGTGACATGTAGTTACTTTGCTGGACAGAAGATGGGAAAATAAAGCAAGGTCCTGAGTACAGAATCTCACATGGCGGCTTGGTGGGACTTGGGGATGTTTCCTGAGATCAGGCTTTTTTGTTCCCCCTCCAGTATGGTTATTTGAAAGAAAAATGTATCATGTATCACTTTTTAGCTACCTTTCACTTTCAGCCCCTGCCCATTTTGTTGAATGAACTCCATCTTAACGTGACTTGTGACACTTAACTGTTGTGGCCAGTCCTGTGTGTTTGTTGAAGATCCACAGTCAAGTGTAGATGTTGGCAAGTTCAGTATCTCCCAAGGGGCCTTACTTTCACCGCTGTCTGCTGTCTGTCCTCTCTCTGCATCTTAGAGTAGCCCAATGTTCCGAAGTAACGTGCTGCGTCCAGGTTGCTTCTGGGACATGATGCCTTGTAACATCTGAACAGACACAGGATAGTGACCTGCAACTGTTAGTGGATATAGGAGCTTCCTGTGACTGGGAAAGAGGGGGTGTTTTTCAAATACAGGTACCAGTGGAGCATCAGCCTTTTCTGTCAGACTTAGAGTGTTTCACAAGTGGAGCTGACAATCTACTTTGATCTAGATCCTGGTCCCCATGTGCCTAGGTGTGCTTGGGGCAGGGGTCGGGCTTGCGACATGTGCTGTCCTGCTCTCTATCTCCTATTGACAGGACTCTTGATCTGCTGGTGCACCTGTGCTTGCCAGGTAGCTGAAAGGACTTTCGGACCCTGGCAGCAGCCATCTGTCATGGCTGTGCTGCAGAGTGACACTGGGCTTCCCCACAGCCTCGTGGTGCTGAGGCTGAAGTGTCTCCCACATCTGTTTTTCTCTTTGTCACTTTACTTGATGTCTTAGTTATGGTTCTGTTGCTATGAGGAAACACTGTGACCAAGACAATTTACTGAAGAAAGCATTTCCCTGGGGGTTGGCTTACAGTTTCAGAGGGTTTAGTCCATGCTCATTGTGGCAGGGAACCTGGTGGCAGGCAGGCATGGTGCTGGAGCAGTAGCTGAGAGCTCCCTTCTGATCTGAAAGTTGCAAGCAGGAGAGATTGTGAGACTGGGCCTGGTGGGGGCTTTTGAAACTTCAGATAGTGACACACCTCCTTCCCCCACAGTCCACCAGCTGGGAACCCAACATTCAAACATGGGAACCATGCTGATCCAAACCATTATATGTGGTGTTATGGTTCTTTTTAAAATTTTTTTTAAATTATTAACTCATAAATGGGGCCACAGTTTTAAGAGCCTAGGGAATCTTACTTGTTATTGAGTCATTTCATCAAACTTTTTGGTGTCGTTTGGGTAAGAGTTGATCTATCAGTCATTCCTCCTTTTGATTTTTATGGCAAAAATATCAGTTCAGAAGGCTGCCTTTAACATATATGCCCCAAGTTAAAGAAATCTAAGAATTTTAATTTCAGATCCCCACTGTCAGGTATAAGACAGAGAATAGTGTTGGTGTCTTTGAAGTCCTTTCTTGTTCCACAAGCTCCTCTATACAATACAGGTAACCTCTGGGATAATGGTGGCTCTCCAGTTCTCTGTCATGACTTAGCAATGTGGCACATGTATGGACTGCCCTTCATGATGATGGGCATTGGTGGATGGTACTAGCAGTGTGCTTATGTGGAGTGCTCCCTGGGTAGTGCACTCCTGAGTATGTCTGTTCTTCATAATGGTAGATACTGACATGGTGCTAACAGTGTGCTAGCTAGTGTGTTTCATAAGGATGCTGTTGTTCACACATAAAGTACTTTGATTGGATTTACCCCACCATTACTTACCTATTTGTTCCCTATTCCCTAATAGTTCCATTTTTCCTTTCCTTAAAAAAGCTAATCATACAATGATAGATTCCATTAAAACATTTTAAACATGCAAATAATGTACTTTGCTTGTGTTCCTGCCATTAATTATCCTGTCTTCTGCCTTGCCCACTTGTTCCTTTCCTGCAACCCAATAGTTTTTTTCAATTCCCCCTTTCCCTTTCTCTGTCTCTCTCACATGCACACATAACCATATTTTGTATATAGGAGAAACATGATAATCATCTGAGTCTAGCTTATTTCACTTAACATGATGCATGCCAGTTCCAACCATTTTCCTGTAGATGGCATAATTCCATCCACTATAGCTGAATAAAACTTCATTATTTACATATACACATATACCATATTCCCTCCCTCCCTCCCTCCCTCCCTCCCTCCCTCCCTCCCTCCCTCCCTCCCTCCCTCCCTCCCTCCCTCCCTCCCTCCCTCCCTCCCTCCCTCCCTCCCTCCCTCCCTCCCTCCCTCCCTCTCTCTCTCTCTCTCTCTCTCTCTCTCTCTCTCCAGGGCTTCTTTATATATCCCTGGCTGTGATAGAGCTAGCCCTGCAG